GAAAAGTGGGGCCTCGTATAAATATTTACATATCACTTGCATTTCTGCTAGAACTGGAGGAAGATTTTCAATTTAATGACTCTCAAATGCATTATTTGTTCATTCATTTTAAAGGAGAGTTCAAGCACGTGCATCTCTAGTGACTAATCTATTTATAACAGTAGTAATGAACCCACTTTATACAGTATTACATGTTTTAAACTACATGTACTAACATGTAAATAAAGTAAACCATTTGATACAGTCTCTCGGTTGTGTTTTTACATTGTTTTACATATGTACTTAATTTCTGTGTTTACATGTATAATTACAGTAACAACCCATACCCCTTAAACCACCTTTAAACCAAACCTGTCTCTGACTTTACCCTTATCCCACCTCAACAGCGAAAGTGCTTTACAATCCAACATGGACACAATAAGTACACTACACGATTTTTTAACATAAGTAGCCTACATAGTAGTTAAAGTCACCTACTATAAAGTGGAAGCATATCTGCTGTTCTGTTTGGAGGTAAAAAACCCCCCAACTCATTTCTAGTTTTATAGAATCAGTAGAAAATGTTTTTTTTCTTTTAATAATCTTCAATAGTAAAGTTTATTCTTACCTCTGCTATAGTGATGGCCAGCATAAGCCATGGTGGTGGACAGTAGGTGTAACTGTCAAAGTACCACTTGCGGTCCACCTCTCTTGGCAAAGTCTCATAGGCAACATGACGCACAAGTCTTCGAGACAGACCCAAGCCCACTTCCTCTCTTAGCGCGGAATTCCTGAGCTGCCGACTTCCCTGCAGGATCGCTCGACGGAAACTGTTTGAGCGCTTATTGCTCATCTGAAAAAAAGAAAAGAAACCATGACACAAACTGACCAGTCATGTTTATCAGCACTTTTCTTGTAAATATGCAAATGATCATGTAACAGTAACAAAGTCAATCAAGTTTTTATATACAGGCTGGCACAAACTTGTATATGTATCTGTGAGAGCATTTACTGTAATCCTTAATAATATTTATGTATGTTTTTTCTCATTCAGAATCTGTGACCAGACTAATTCACCACCTGGGTTTTTTTGGGGGAAATATCCCTGATGTTATTGGTTTATGAGTTTATGTCTTTCTGTCTTTGACAGTGCACCCTATCACACATCCCATGCCCGCCCCTTCTCTACCACAGACAGAATGCCACTGTTGTCACTTAGCAACCGATTAAAGATTCCACACTCATCTCCAAGTCTCAGAGCAGCTGTGTAACAAACAGTGTGTAAGTTATTGCGTGTGTGTGTGTGTGTGTGTGTGTTTGTGCGTATGACACAATGCTGTTCAAACAAGCTTTTCACTACTGAGGCAAAAAGCCCTCCTCAAAAACCTGGAATGTTCTTTTATCCCATGCCAGGAATACAGGTCATGCATTATGTAAGTTGTGGAAGAGGCCCTGAGAAGGATGAAGAAATTTAGTTGGAAAGCCCCTAAAGACGTTGCCTTTGCCATCATATTGGGACCAAATTAAATAGTTTAAAACATGACTAAGCTGACCTACAAAGCTTATATTTTCACGATTCACACGGTAAAGCTATAAAGACTATTTACTCTGTTAAATACAGTAAAGAAGTCAACTTTGTGAAAAACTAAAGCCAGAAAATAATGAACGCAGCCCCCCGTCTGGATAACAGCTCACCTCAAATTATATTCTGTAGAGGAATATGTACACACAGCCATCTGCAAGCTGTTTCAACTTATGTTACATTTGTTTGATATAGATATACACATGGACACACAAAACAAAATAAGTACACACACTGATCAGATTTGATATAGATTATAATTGAAAAATTAAGGATCAGAGTTTTTTTAATTCAGATAGGATTCATTAAACTCATCAAAGGTGACAGTCAAATCTTTCAGCTTAAATTCTGTTCTTTTGAAATTTTCAGTTCATCAAAGAATCATCGGAAAAAGCAGCACTATCGTTTTCAGGTGTGATAATAAGAAATGTTACTTGTAATAATGTTAAATGTTACACAAATCAGCATATGTGACCATGGACCACAAAACCAGCCATAAGTGTGAATTTTTTTAAATTTAGATTTATGTATCACCTGAAAGCTGAATAAAAAAGCTTTCTGTTGATGTATGGTTTGTTAGGATAGGACAACATTTGGTCGAGATACAACTATTTGAAAATCTGGAATCTGAGAGTGCATACAATCTAAATATTGAGAAAATCGCCTATAAAGTTGTCCAAATGACGTTCTTAGCAATGCATATTACTAATCAAAAATTAAGTTTTAATATATTTATGGTAGGAAATGTAAAAAATATCTTCATGGAACATGATATTTACTTAATATCCTAATGATTTTTGGCATAAAAGAAAAATCTATAATTTAACGAATTTTGTTGGCTATTGCTACAAATATACCCGTCTGTGCGACTTATGACTGGCTTTGTGGTCCAGGGTCACATATTAGAACGAAAAAGGGTGTGTTGATAATGCAAAAGGACAATAGTAAACAGTCATTTTTCTCAGTTAAAGTCAGTTCATCGTTGATTCATTGATGTCGTCATCTAGTTCAGTTCAGTTTCATATATACTATATATTAATGAATAATTAGCAGGTATATACATGATACTCCAATATACTTTAAAAGAATACCATGGTTTGTCTAAAAAAGCACAAAGGTACATTTGGTAATGCTTTACAATAATGAACATTAATAAACATTTATCGATTTAAGTTAATATTAATTTATCCATATGCTGTTGTTCATTAATAATTAATGTTGTAATACATTAACTATTGTTAATGTATACATTTGGAAATGTTAAAAATGCATAGTGCAAACATTAACTAATAACATTAATAAACACTGAATGCTGTCAAATTTTTGTTTGTTATTTTTTTATTCATGATGCCTAATCTATATTCTTAACAATAACCAAATGAAAAGTGTTACCAGACTTTTTTGTTAGTGAATACTTGATTAACTCACTGAATATGGAAACATAACCGTATATTTATCATGATATGAAAGAAAATGTTTTTGACTTGTGCTGCTTACTTCAACCTCACAAACAACAAACTTTATAATTTCCTCCTACTGTTACACATCAGCTTTATTAAAAGATCTCACATTAACAGTTACAGTCTGTGTGCCATAACGCTTTTTGTCTTGGCTGTTTTCATGGAAACCACACAAAGAAAAGTCAAACTATATGGTATTTAGAGAGTACACACACAAATCATATTCTCTACTGTTGGGGCACCATGGTACAGCCAGCTAAAAGACTGTAAGGCTGAAGAAAAGAAAGAATTC